GGGTGTATTGAGACCGGTGTCTGCTTCACGTGGTGTCTAAATAAGGCCTGTGATTGGCTTACCGCACTGACCTAAAAATAGGTCTGTGGCTTACCGTCCATGGCCAGGACCCCATGGGTGCCACGGAGCCCCCCACCACGCGGTGAATCATGGGATCGACGGTGGACACTCCACAGATGTTGGCAGAGTAGGAACAGGGGATCGACACTGGCGTGGCATTGCATGTGGCTGGGGACAAAGGGGACAGTGGTGAAATGATCAGAAATGATAGATAGATAGATAGATAGATAGATAGATAGATAGATATCATTTGTAAAGCGCAAATCCCCTCTCAACAGCAGGCTCTACGCGTTTCACAATCTATACTATTACCCCAGCAGACCTGAGAGCATTCTGAAACAATCTCAACTTCCTGTGAAGCATACAGTGCAAGCGGCCATTTATAGGCACTAAAACACTAACATACTGACAAGATCTTTCGCTGTCTATGGCCGGGTACCCATTCCCACCTGGGTGAAGTGAGGAAAATTCGTGTAAAGTGCCTCTTCCAAGGACACAACGTCAGGCCCGTGGCTCGTACCCCCGACCGACAACCTCACGATTACGAATCCGGTAACCTAAACACAAAGACATGGGTTTTTGTTTTAGAAAGGTTTTACGGCGCTCGCAACTGCATAATGTCATAATATGAGCGCCAAGGGGTGGATGTCAACATAGAAGTCCAAATGGGGAATCAGGCTTACTCTGCTCACCTCACTAACCTCAACAGCACAAAGTCTGCTACGACTATCAAGGCACCCCGGAAATAGCAGGTCACAAGAAAGTGACAAATATACAAAAGAAATAGAGGGGGAAATGACGATAGAAAGGATGAGGAAATAAAAAGCAGCAGGATGGGTTTGACGCCACTATCAACACTATTAGGTTAGGTAACAGGGGAGGTGGGACTTCTAAGTTTAACGTCCATCTCCAAAAGCACTGAGCTAAATGGGAAATTCGTTTCAAGTGCCTTTCCCAAAGAGACACAACGTCGGACGGAGCTGAGGCTCGAACCCCCGAACCCACAATCTCACGATTCCAGCTCCGGTAGCCTAACCACTAGACAACCAACGCCACCGGGGTGAAAGACATACATGTTAGGCTCATCTCCATAAAGATGTCTACAAACAGGTCATTTTCATCATGGTAAATACCCATACAATAGGTCTAGATCTAAATCAAAAAGAAAAAATACCCATTTAAAGGGCAACAACTTAATCACCTCTGCACACATTTCAACAAACTTCAGACCAGTGGCAAAGGCTGACTTGTTTGACAGGGTACTCAAAGTGAGACAAGGAACCAGATAGAGATGAGGCCACACATGAAAAGGTTTCCCACAATGGGAACATAATTAACAAATCTTCTTATTTGAGGTGGCATCACACATTCACAAAACAATTCCTGAATTCATATTTTTGTTCACCCACAAAAATAATCGAGAAAATATCAAATTAAATACATGTACTTATTCCTACTTTTAGAAAACGATTTGATTATAACTTTTACATTTGTGTTGGAAATATACAAAAAGATGACAGTTCTACAAATTCCATTTATCAATTTGATTTCAAATTTGGCTGTCTTTATGTAACTTTTCGTTGCCAGGAACCAGTACTATAATCATACCATGACCTGATTATATAGGACGGTAACAAGTTTTGGCGGGGGGGGGGGGGGGGGGGGTTGTTGCTGTTGTTTGGGGGGTGGGGGGGGGGGGTTGTTGCTGTTGTTTGGGGGGGGGGAGGGGTTTATTTCCCGGAAAATTTTTGAGAGATTGGATTTATATATTGTGTTTTAATCCACGAAATTCTCAAAAGCCTCACAAGAATAAAGATTTGTTTCTATTGCTTCTATTTTATTGTCATTGTCTTTGGTAATTGTCCAGCAGTCACAGCCGTATAGAAGTATTCGAAGGGATGAACACATCGTATAGACTTTTATTGCGCTTATTTTACTACACTCAGTGAAATAATATTTGTATTTTTCTGGGTGGACTCATTTTATTGAAGCTATCTTTCGCTATTGTAATTCTTCGTTATATTATTATTTCCGTGGGACATTTTTTGACATCAGATGTAAGGATAACAAACTTCTGAACTTGTTTGATCTTTTCCCTTTTGCTTACGAGATGGCAACTAGGGTTTACTGATTTTTAGACATATGGTACATTCTGTTTTCTTCACATTCAATAATAATTCTTTACGTTTACTAAATTTCACTTAATGTGTATATTATTGTATTCTTCTGTTTTGTTTTTTTTTAAAAAAGGAACAAACGTGAAATGCATACAAGCTTAGTTGGTTTTTTATTAATTTTCGTAATGTTTTATTTTGGTGTTCTTCTTTCTTCTTCTTCTTCCTTGTCTTGATGACAGCAGCTAGACAGTCAGTCCGATGTCGCGCACAAACTGTGCAGTCCGCTTCAACTCTGAAAGACTGCCATAGAGCTTTCTCTCAAGGAGAGTCAGATTCTGCCACGTCTGTATACGAAAGGTGGCGTAGCTCGGGCAGTGCTGAAGGATATGGTTGGCATCCTCTTGGTATTGTCCACATTCACAGAACGCGGACTCTCCCACTTTTAATTTGGTGTGCATATGCTGTTGTAGCCAAAACAGAGTCGAAAGATTGTGACCTGGTCTGCTCTATTTAGCATGTAGTAGGGGTCACGTCTATTGTGATCATGGTGGGATCTTTTCCATCTGTTTCTTATGGCAGATTTTATTTGCGTTTTTGACTCTGAGAGATCCATACCATCCTCCAATCTGGGTCATTTTGGCTCCTTCTTTGGCTAAGTCGTCTGCTTTTTTATTTCCATGAATACCACAGTGACCTGGTATCCACAGCAGAGTTGTGTTGGCTTGGGAGTTTAGTTTTTCTTCTTCTAATTTGTGTGAGTTTTTTGTTTTTGTTTTCGAAGTGTCTAGATTCTACAGACAAAAATTATATTCGGACTCTCTACTGAGTCCAGCATGGCACCCGTTCTGACTTTCGACCCTTGTTCCTGAATAGTTCCAGCATTTATGAATATTTTTAAAATTATTATAATGATAACGATCGAGACGTGAGCTTTAATATCTAGTTTCTAGATCTATCTAAACTGGCGCTCCCTGTATCATTAGTATGAACAGTGATAAGAACAACCAAGTTGAGTGGACCTTGCCGGGGGCAAAGTTAATCATGTCGACCAATCAGATTGTGCATAGCGATCACGCACTCTTGGCTTGCTGGGGGAAGAGGCCATGGCTGTCCATTTTGTGCGATGTGATTTTTAAAAATAAATAATTACAGAAAAACTAGCACACAACAAAATGAAATTAATTATGTGGAAAGACAAATGATGGTGGAAGTAATGATGGTGCTGTAGTGGTGGTGGAAGTAATGATGGTGCTGTAGTGGTGGTGGAAGTAATGATGATGCTGTAGTGGTGGTGGAAGTAATGATGATGCTGTAGTGGTGGTGGAAGTAATGATGGTGCTGTAGTGATGGTGGAAGTAATGATGGTGCTGTAATGGTGGTGGAAGTAATTATGGTGCTGTAGTGGTGGTGGAAGTAATGATGGTGCTGTAGTGGTGGTGGAAGTAATGATGGTGCTGTAGTGGTGGTGGAAGTAATGATGATGCTGTAGTGGTGGTGGAAGTAATGATGATGCTGTAGTGGTGGTGGAAGTAATGATGATGCTGTAGTGGTGGTGGAAGTAATGATGATGCTGTAGTGGTGGTGGAAAGACCCTGAGTTGTCGCTTACCACCGCGTACTTAGACACTGCCATTGGGCAATGAGAGTGCAGTCTTTTGACTTTTGACACATACATAGTCCTAGTAGGTAATTCTAGTTCTAATTCTGGTTTTACGTAAAATCCCCCCCGACGACAGTTATATTATGTAACCTCCTTACACTCACATAACTCACTTAGAAGCTGAGTCCGAATAAATAAAAACATTTTTTCGGACCCGAGTTCGACTAGATAAAACACATTCGAGTCCGAATAGATATAACAAAATCTAATCGGACTCGGAATAGATATAACAAAATCTGATCGGACTCGGAATAGATATAACAAAATCTAATCGGACTCGGAATAGATATAACAAAATCTGATCGGACTCGGAATAGATATAACAAAATCTAATCGGACTCGGAATAGATATAACAAAATCTAATCGGACTCGAGTCCGGAAAGAGCTGGCCTTTTGTTTGTTTTTGTGTTATTTTGTTTTGTTTTGTTGTTGTTGTTGTTTTTTTGTCGTTGTATTTTGCGTTGTTTTTTATGGGTGTTTTTTTTTGTTTTTGTTTTGTTTGTTTGTTTGTTAGTTTGTTTTTGTTTGTTTGTTGTTTGTTTGTTTGTTGTTTTGTTGTTGGGTTATTTTGTTTATTTTTTATTTTTATTTTATTTATTTATTAATTTATTTTTTTTTGGGGGGGGGGTGGGGTTAGTTTATTGCAAAAGCCGATCTTTGACAGAACTCATCAACCTCGGATGTGTGTGCCAATTAGCCGTCCATGAACGCTGATAAGAATAGTTTACTTTCTATGTTTGGTGTTTGGTTTTTATCTTAGGTGGTTTTTGTAAGCGCCGTCTGTTGTGCCTTAGGCTTGGACTTTTTGGTTTCCTTATCTTTTGTACATTTCTGAGACTTCCTCAGCGTCAGTACATACTTGCGTGCTCGTCTGTCTGTCTGTCTGTCTGTCTGTCTGTCTGTCTGTCTGTCTGTCTGTCTGTCTGTCTGTCTGTCTGTCTGTCTGTCTGTCTGTCTGTCTGTCTGTCTGTCTGTCTGTCTGTCTGTCTGTCTGTCTGTCTGTCTGTCAGTCTGTCTCTCTCTCTTTCTCTCTCTCTCTCTCTCTCTCTCTCTCTTTCTCTCTCTCTCTCTCTCTCTCTCTCTCTCTCTCTCTCTCTCTCTCTCTCTCTCTCTGAAAAGAAGGCATTATGCTAAACGCCAGTGATGATTACACAATAAATAAGTGAAAAGGTTCTGGAATATTCGAGGGAGTTTGTGTACAGGGGAAGGTGTGATGAGGTCGTGATGGGGTCACGTGATGAGGTCACGCGATGAGGTCACGTGATGACGTCACGTGATGAGGTCACGTGATGAGGTCACGTGATGAGTACAAAGTACATGGCGGGTACGTGATGAGAAGAAAGAAGAAAGTCATGAAATAATCGCCACTTTAGGACCACCTGTCCCATGAACTGCCATCGCGGAAAAGATAAAACAAACTTTTCCATTTCTTTTTTTTTTCTTTTCCAACCCCGGCGCTGTGTTGCATAGATAAAAAAACCCAACTTATTACACTCGTTGCTGAGGTAGATCTAGACCATGCTTTACCCTACATTTGAAATTGCCAGTTGTAATCACTCGTCGAGACAAAATTAGAAACTCAGTAATCAAAGAAATGGTGGGCACAAATGATGTCATGCATCACATCCAACACCAAAGAATCAAATGCGATTACCAACACACCATCCAGCACAACGTGCAAAATAAAAAATTCGATGACAACAATGCAAGAGGGCGACGGAGAAAGACCTGGATAGATGGAGTCAGGGAAACATTAACCACTCACGGCATCCCCCTGACCCAAGCTCTCCAGTTGGCGACAGAGAGACGTCTCTTTCTTCCCGCGACACCCAAAAGGGTATAAGCGGTGGATAAAAGTAAAAAGTAAAAGTAATCACTCGTTGAAAGCGACTGTTGTTTTGACAATGTGAAAAACCAGAAATGTTCCACGCGTGGGCCTGAGCACCAACAAGATACGATACAAAAAAAATGTTCAAATGTTGCACTCGTTCAAGCTGAAGATGTCACAGTTTACTCAAACTAACTGCAAAAGCAACACATACACAAGCGTGACCTCATCTAATCTGATTGAAATACTCTACGCTTATCATTTTTTTTCTTTTTTCAATCGAACAAAATGGTAATAATTTCTTCGAGCTATGCAAGATACAGATTTATTCTACCAAACAAAACATGTTCTCCCATTCCTGTGATTTTTGTTCTCAACTAAAAGTTTACATCATGAGTCATAGCGTCCAGCAAATGAGGCTTCACGAATAAAAAAAATGCTGCAACTAAGAGAGAGGGCTGCAAGCTGCGCACCACCATGGGTGGAAGTGGAGCTCTTAAATGACATGTTTAGAATATTATGTCAAACTTTTCTCTGCCAGAATTGGCCTCGCGGGTCACAGCAGAAGCCACAAGCCATCTCAACCTTTAATTCTTCTCATTCTTTCATTTCACCGGAAAAATCTTCTGCTCTGGGGATGTGTTGGTCATCGTCAGACACCGACGGACGAGCTGTTGTCATTGTTAACACCAACACCTGCCAACCTGGTGGCGCCGCCCACTGGTAGGCCATCTGGTCATTTGGGTGAGTGGTGAGGATCTCCAGGGTTGTGATACCTCGAGCAGAACTACAAACTTCTATCTGCTCAATTATCAATACCTAGTTTCGAGAAATTTGGTGTCAAAACGTTATAATTTTCCAATATGAAGCTTTTTCGAATACAGTTAATTCTTTGAATATCTTGATAACGATTCCGAAATATTTATATGATTTTGATAGAGCAGATAGAGAGTTTGGTTTCTGGGCCCCGTCGTCTTAGTAGCTGAAACGGCCAAAATCTCAGATAGAACTCTTTAATTCTGAGGTAGTAAGATGTTTTATGCCCCGCATGGAAATACATGTAGGTGGGCTGTACGAAAATATTAGCTTCTTAATTGTGAAAAAAGTGGGCGCTGGCAATACAAAAAATTGACAATCACTGGTTATATATTCGCGCTACACATGATTAATGACATGGTTAATTTCTCGTGCTAAAGGAAAATCTCCCACTTATTGCAAACTTAAAAAGCAACAACAAACAATTTGTATATTTAATTTTATTTCAGCTAAATAAGAAAATTCTCCTTTTCTCCAGGCTTAACAAAACGTCAACAACTTACCACAGACGAACAGTAACGTCACAATGCTCACAGACCACATCCTGGAGAAGTCCATGGTCCTTCAAATAACGTTGGAATTAAAATCCCAGACTTAGATGAAATGTTGCGAGCGTAAACGAAGACAGTAATGGTGACGGAGATTTCGGTAAGCCCTTCTTACAGAACTGGTTCAGAGATAATTATCAGACTTCCTCAGCTCATCTCTTGTCCCAGTGCGTCACACATACGGAAAAAGTGGAGATTAGCCACATACTTATACTCTGTCCACACGGCCAATCAGATTCAACGGACTGAGGCGGGGCCTGACAGATTTTCTTTCATGGACTGAGTTCAAAACACCAACTGTGTTTCAACTGTGAACAACAAAACCAAACATGTTTACGGGGTTCGTTTGATTGTTTGTTTGTTTGTTTTGTTTTGTTGAGTCGAAGCGATTGTATTGCTCCTAAATTGAGGCTCTTGCCCCACACAGGAAGGAGAATCTGGTTGGGCCCGACCCAATCCGATAAATCTGATTTGCAGTGTGCACTGGGCATAATTTTCTTCCACATAGCCTACTACATCTATCTTGGGACTTTTGGGTAAGAAAGTAGAATTTGTGGGACAAAGTACCGTGGACCTTTTCGTTTCATTATCTCTGTATCGTTTATACAACACGATCTTCGCGGGCTCGGCCCGTAGCAGATCTTGAAATACTTTCGGCAGTGTCTATACGATAAGCTTTTTTGTTTGTTTGTTTTGTTGTTTGTTTGTTTGTTTGTTTGTTTGTTTTAAGCGAACGAGCAATTCACTGCGCTCTTTTTCAGCATTGACGGCAGTTGCCTGTCAGTTTGAAGCTAGAGAAACTGTGGTGACGTCAGATCCTCCCGTGCTGGCAACACTCGACAACAGAAAAAAGCCGCTGTGTTGAAAAGAAACCAGGAGTAAGTACTAACCTCTGAGGGATCTAAACTGCTGACCAAGCTGTTGACAATCTGGACACTCACTGTCTACATGCTTGATGTTATTGGGTAAACGATCAGGTGGAAGACCGCGTGGAACCCGGAGAAGAATCACTGAAATTGATGAAGGCCTACAGAAAAGTGGGAAGGCATGGGTATAACCTCAAGAGGCTAGTCCAGGATAGGGAAAGGCGGAAAGTGTTTGTTCGTGGCCTATACCCTGATCCAGGGTTAGAAAGCCAGTGATGATGATAACGATGTTATGGATTTAAGGACAGGTGTCTAAACATGAAATCCAGCCTGATGAACAGGAGCGTTTTATGTGGTCAGACAACAGCGGCAAGCAAGGACTAGGCTCACAAGTAAGCTTACTGTAACACACACACATACACACACACACACACACACACACACACACACACACACACACACACACACACACACATATACACTCTCTCTCTGTCTCTCCCCCCCCCCTCTCTCTATCTATCTCTATCTATCTATCTATCTATCTATCTATCTATCTATCTATCTATCTATCTATCTATCTATCTATCTATCTATCTATCTATCTATCTATCTATCTATCTATCTATCTATCTATCTATCTATCTATCTATCTTTCTATCCCCTCTACCCCCCCTTCTCTCTCTCTACATATATATATATATATTATATATATATATATATAATTATATCTCCCTCCCTCCCCCACCCCTCTCCCGATGACCCATACCATCCACCCTTGCCAGCAATGACACTACATGTGCTAGTATATATCTCAGCTGGACAAACACCCTCATTACAGCTCTCCGTGAAGATGTCCGTGTGTGCCTAACGTTAACAGCATCCGGCCTAACCATGACTCAACCCCAAACACTTCTTCGCTGCTGAGGAGGAGGGAGGTAGGAGGAGGGGGGGGGGCATCCGTTATCTGTGTTTTTACGTCATGTCCAAACTCAAGGTGCGCAACTTGAATAACGAAAGTGGGCTACATGATGTTTGGAAGATAGCGAGACGACCTTGCCATAAAACGTAGTCCGGTAGGAGAAAAAACGAAATATGCAACTCTTTAACTAGACTCTAGATTTTCCTGCTCTCAGGAAATATTCTGTCGTCTGCTTTCGTCTCCACTTTCTGCCCCCCACCCCCTCACCTCCTTTGCCCCCTCCTCTGGGCTCCTGACTCTGTCTGCAGCCTTTGTACTGCTACTCCTACTGCTCCTTCTTACTGCTGTCTTTCTGCCACACCCCTGATCTTCTGGTTGGAAATATCTTCACCTAGCCTTCTCGGACAAGGGCGAAAAATCTCGGAGGTCTCGTGTGCAAGTTGCGTACGTTAAAGATCCCTTGGTGGTCTTAAATCGATAAGAGTAGGCTTCCGCCGCCACCCGAGCAAAATTCTAAATTTCCTACCAACTGAAAAAGTTTAATGTGTTCCGCTCGCTCATAAGACCTTATGCAGTGGCGAGCGCCGTAAAACACTCATAAAAAACATTTTTAAAAAGACTCTAGATTTCCGTGGGTCAGAACGCCAAAGAGTGACATTGTTCATTGTTAATGTTTGACAATAACTCCTTCGACAAGATAATATACTACTATTTAGGAGGCGGGCTGTTTGACTGTCTGACAGAACCAATATTGGCTGAATGGGAGGCAGTATCTCTGCGGAAAGACGGGAGTTACTTGATAGAATCGACTCTTACCGCGGGTAGCCATCGTGATAAAGAGAGAGATGTAAAGGAAATAATATAGCAAGCAACTTGGAATTATCACAAACGCCACAACTCGCAAAAGCAGCTCCTTTCTTTTTCCTAAAGGTTTGCACGTCTCTGCCTTAACAGAGTAGACTAATGATACGGTTAGTCGGCTAAATATTATGACATCGCTTTTGACCTTCAAGTGTTATTCATTTTTGGAAGAATTTTTCATAGTTATGGGCTTTGTTCACTAGATCGAATACCTCGCCATTTTGATGACGTCAACTGTGCCTAGAGCTTAGAATTTGTACATGGGCGTACTATCTATAGTGCGGTCAAAAATTCGTGGAGCAACTTATCCTCAATGATCTCTTTAACGGGTTAATCAATGTTATCCATACTTTGCATAGCAGTTAATTATTATTAATTCGTCATACTTTTTCTAGAACAATTCTTCATAAATTTATATAAAATACTAGAAATCTCTGTCACGCGTAAAATGATATTGTTCACAGCACTTCCCGCTTCTCACACACATTTTGATTACGCATATAGCCAACGTCACAGCTCATCAATGACAATTTTTACTTGCAAAACTTGTTACAAGAAATTATTGTTATGGTGAACACATTTTTGCACTAATGTCTCTCAAAACATGCTGTCAATAAGCATGTCCTGATTTTAAAAATCTGACGGACTTGCTATTAAAAGTTATATTGCCCCTGCTGTAAACATTTAAAAATCTGTAGAAACCACCCACTTGGATTTTTTATAAGTATTTATTAAGGAATTTTCTAGAATGCAGCTTTCAGGTGTTTACAAAATGTTGATCTGTTAAGACAAATTGGTACAAGTCACTGTGCAAGAATTGGAGAATCTATGTTCGATAGTTGAGGAGATATTTGGAAATACGTTGCACCACGAATTTTTGACCGCACTATAGTTATTATCCTTTATTAGAGAAGTATTTTCTTTGTTGATTGTGACCAATGAAACAGCACTAAATGACCATGATTGTGTCGATGTGCTTCTCTTTACTCAAAATGACCAATTATCGTCTGAACAAACAGTGACAAGACCTGGACGGTGTATTAAAACCATGCCAAAAGGCTTGATCATTTCCTTATCAAAAAGCCTCTGGGGAATTCTTGTCTTGAGTCTGTTTTCTAGTTTCTAAGACCAAAAGGACTCAACTTCTTTTTTGTTTTAGTAGAGGTTTTAAGGCGGTCGCAACTGCGTAAGGTCATATGAGCGCCAGAAGACTAGAGGTGTTACAAGGGAGTAACAAATATAAAATAGAAGGAGGGGAGATAAAAACGACAGATGTTCGATAGGAATGAAGGAGCTAACCACACCAGAGCACCCGCCAACCACCCATTAGATTCAATTTTGCTGGGCTGGCCATGTTGTAAGAATGTCTGATTTCGGTATCCCAAAGAAAAGGTAGTTATTTTATTCTGAGCTGTCCTCGGGAAAGTGATGAGTCCCCCC